TTATTTATGATTTATTTTTTCTGAAGTCATGCATTTTGATGATTGTATTGTTGAGCTTTAGCTTATGCTTTTCATTAAAAAAATTCTCAGAAATTTACAATCTAAAATAATTTTACAGGATAATACCGCGCTTGTCAGGCATCGAACTGAATGAACTCGAACCTGTGGAAGTTGGTTTGATTCCTTTTTCTGATAGTTATCGTTAAATACTGTCAATGATGAATTGCTTTTTACATTAAAATATTCAATTTTTTTTGTATTGATAACAAAATAATAAAAAGTACGAATAATAAATCAAGAAAAAAGAATTGTTATTTGAATAAAAAGAAACAATTGTGTAGTGCGAGACTTTTTGAATTTATCATTTTCAATGGATTTTCAGAAAACAGTTCAATAGGATGAAGTATGGTAGCTGCTTTTTACATATAATCTACTAAACCAAAACAATTCAAAGAGTGTAGATGTGGTTAAACAGAATATCAACATCTACACCTACATTCTTCTTGATATTATTAAAAGTACTGGTTATAAATGCAAGTTTTAATCCAGATTTGTGCAACTTTCTCTTAAACTCTAACGACATGGTTTAAAAACGTCTTCGTTAATACTTCAACGGCTAAAATATGTTTAATGGATACATGTAATCGACTTATTTACTAGTTAAATCAATGATTGAAATCATAATAAAACATACGATATGAAATATAAAACAATAAGCCAAACAGAAATTAGAGCACAAAATAAATGACAATCTATTCTGATTGGTTTTAGAAAATTTAGATATGATTGTTACAGTAGAGACCAATTCTAGTAAAAAGAAAAAAGTAGATAAATTAATTCTTGTTGCTATGTTTCCATTTTATGAATTGATATTTTTAGTCTTTATTGAGGATGTGGGTATGGATCACAAAGAGAGAGAGAGTATATGATTCATCAATATATCCAAACAACATCTACACCCACACCGTATTTTGAACGTGTTCAAGTAAATCAGCATATAATTTTTCTGGATTCGATCCATGTGTGAATGCTTGTTCATATGGATGTCAATGTTCAATATTCGTTAACTAAAATAAATAAAATAGATTTTGCTTTTTTGTTGATACAATTGATATTTGCAGGTTTTCTTTTAATATACCTGCAGATACTATTTTCGATCAGCAATAAGAAATAAACGATTGTGTGATTCTTCGAAACGAATACTGAAACGTGATAACATCAATAAAAACCTTAAAAGTAAAAGATATACAATATTATCAATGAAAATTCATTTTGACATTTCATGGCGAAATTTATTGATTTTGTATTGATCGTCATTTCTTCGGATTGCAATAAAGAGTTTTTGTTTTTCATTAATGTTTTACTATTTATTTTTTCCAAATAAATTTTAATTATATGTGTATGTCTTGATAATTTTTAAAAAGAAAACTAGGAAGAATATTTAACCATAGGCAGAATTTTACTCATAAGAGGGTGGGGGTGTGGGTATCATTATAGGTCTTGTCTTCACCCACACCCTGTGATAGACATGCACTTAACATAAGACAAGTTAACCCCCATATAGCCATACATAGTGATTTTCTTTGTGCAATATTTGTCATTGATAATAAAGTCCATTCATTAACTTTAGCTGAATAACGTGCATTAATTAAAGCACGAAAAAAAAAACTAATATGTGCAAGTAATAATGATAAAGGACGTAATAAAAGTAAAGCTTCATATGGTAATGTTGATGATTGTTTTGTACGTGCATATAATTCTTCAACAAGTTCAATAAGAATATTATCTGATGATGATATTATTGATGAACTATCAATTATTGTTTGTTCTTTATTAACATGGTCATTATTTAATGAATTTGTATTTTTATTTGGTCGTTGTAATAATGTATAAATACGTGAAAGTATTAACACTATATATCATTTTTGGGATATTGACCAACTATTAAAAGTTTTTCAAGACTAATTGATATAATTTTTTGTGTTAAATTATCATCGTTAATTAATGATAACAAAATATCATATGAATTTAAATCAACTTCATGACTTTCAAGTAAAAATAAACATAATGTATATGCATGAATTTAGTTAATTTAAAATTGTGTTCAATTAAACGTAGATATAATTCATTATATTCTTTTGTTGTTTGTCCAAGTAATATACTAGATTTACATAAATTATAACTTTTTAAGGATATTATTAAATCATCTTCATCAAACCATGTACAAATAAATCAGATAGATATATAATTGAACCTATTAATTTATATTACATATATTTTAATTAGAATTTGTAATGATAATGTTAAATCAAAACCATGATGAAAAAATAAGCAATCAAATAAACTCTAAATTATATATTTTTAAAGATGGATGCCAGAAAAGAAAATGTTCATAATCTAATTTTTTGATTGATAGAATATATTTGAAATTATTGATATAAGCTTTTATCTCTATGAAATAAGATAGTTTGCATGTATTATATATCAAATCAAAGTCAGAGAAACACTAGATTTTCTGTTTGATGAAATTAATAATTTAGCAATGAATTTATCTTTCTTTTAACTTAGAGTTCTATTTGTCGATTATTAAAACATATGTGAGACTTACATTAACTGATAATGGTAATGTATTATTACTTTGGATTGATGTTAATATAGTATCATGTGAAAGTTGTCCATAGGATAATAAATCACGTGTACCTAACCGTTCAATATTTGTAAATAAATTATCTGAATTTGTATCTAATGTTGAACGTATTTGCATATATTGACCATCGATAAAAAAATAAAACAGATAAAATCTAGTTTATTTTTCAATCTTGTTATCATTGTGTTGCATTTGTTTCTAAAGTTTCTTCTTTTTTTGTAAAATTATTTGTTGTTTGTTTATTTTCATCATTAGATTGTTTTGTGGTGAATTCATTGAAGATAAAAATGAAGCCTATATTTCTTGAAATTGTATTCTAAATAATCAACCAACTCCAAAATTGTCTTTATATAAATATTGGTAAACAAAATAATAATATGACTATACAATATAAATCATGTCAATAAATATATGATATATATATATATTTAATTTTTTTTGTTAAATAATAAAGATGATCTTTTATCTGGTTCAATTAAATTTAAATATGATTATAATATATTTGATATAGTTAAACCATGTCGTTGATAAAGATATTCAAATATTCATAAGTGTTCTCGATAATGTACAACATGATATTATTTGATCTGTTTCATAACTAAGAAATGATGCTTTTTTTTTGAAATATATTTATATAAATTATTTCTGATATAAATATTATAAAACGTAATAAATCACGTATATCACCTGTTGAAAATTGACATGTTAATTCAACATAATTTTGTATTTTATCAAAATATATTGATATAGAATCTATGAATGCAATTGAATATGGTTGATTATTAGAAGCATGATAAAAGACTGTTTTCATAAATTGTATTAGGTGTTGTTTCAATGTCATTTTAATTTGTTTCATTTGATATAACTATACAAAATTCTAGGAAAACAAACAAAGAACAGATTTATATTGTTTCTTATTTTCTCAAATCAATTTTCATTTACTATAAGAATCATCCTAAAAATTTAATGCTGTGGAAAAAATCCAATACGTTTTCGGAGTTCACGAGTTCAAACTTATAGAAAATTTATCGAAATTCTCGAATGCAATTTATTTCGAAATATTATTTTCGGTTGCAAATAAATAACACAATCGAAAACATCTTACGAAATATAATATTAGAAAGACGTCGTCTTCTTTAATTGTAACAGTACAAATAGCACGACTGAGAAGTTGATCAATAAGATTCGAGAGAAATTATTCGGTCATTGTACTAATGTAGCTTAAATGCTTTCCTTTACGATTTGTATTACCTGAAATTCTGCATATTTTCTATTTCAAAATATTTTTTGAAATTTTGAATTATTCAAAAGTCTCATCTATTACTAGCACATAAACAATGCTAAAGTAAAAAAACATTTCTTTTAATTGGATTAAAATTTTTATTATACATATATATTTATTTATTTCGATAAATTAAACTAAAATATACCGGTGACATCATAAATGGTAATCATTTTTTATAAGTTATATTTTTAAGCATTTGTTCATAAATTTTGCTTGTTATATTCATAGGATAATTAAGATTATTAAAATCTTCTTTAATAATATCGATTGATATTGTTATTGATAATATTTATAAAATTCATGGTATATATTTAGGTCATAATTGTTTATTTAATGGTAATGGAAGAAATTGTTCAATTAATAAAACTAATATAAGACCACTTTCATATAAATGTATTCCTTCAGAAACGAATAAATGACTTGCAACTGATGTATGATGTATAAGATCAAATAAAAAATAATAATAATAATTGATAATGTGTTGTTATTGATGTAAAATGTTCAACATATAATTTATGATGATATATTAAATCACAATAAGATTATAATTGACCACTGATAGATAAATGTATTCTTGATGATGATGGTGTTAATATTGGTGACTAGCATGCTTCTTGTGTATAATCAAGCATATTCAGAATGTGTCCATTGTAATAATAATGAGATATAAAATGATGATCATAATAATTTAAAACATTCATTTAAAATAGTTAAATATGAAAATGTCTCAAGACAATGTAGAGTTTCATCATGAATTCATAATTGATGAAAATCATTTACAATTGTTCGAAATTGTTTAGCTAAAATAAAATCATAGATTTTATATAAGCATAGGATTGTTAAAGTCAAATGTTTTTCGCTAGCTCATTAGTAATTAATGAATTGCAGGAAAGTTTTATCTTCAAATTAATGGGTGATATGTACATAAAGATAATCGGATGCAAGAGAAACTAATTTCGCAGTGATTTGACCACATAATTGTCGAGTATTAGTTAAAATTCATAATATTATGTCATGTAAAACACGAAGAAGAGCTCTGAAAACAAAAACGAGAATAATAGTTTTTAAATTATAAACAAAATCATTTCGAATACTTACGCACTAAAAGTTTCATCTCATGTTCCATTAACTGATAATAAAACATCATTCTATCGTGTTAATATAGTATATTCAGTTAAATTTTGTACAAGACATCGAAGTATTATATTTATATTGATTAATTATCGATTTGTAGATTGACAATTGACATTCTAAAAAAAATTTTGAACTACAGGAAAATTTTATAAATAAAAACAACGAATATTTCTATTTACTAATGCTCGAAAAGCAATAACAAACGGATCAATTGATCGTAATGCAACTGATGATACAACAACAAATAGTGTTAATTGTGTGGAATAAATATCCAAAAGTGATTGATCCTATTTGAACAAAAAAATAACCTGAGATAAACCAATAGTAACATGTGATTGTAAATGAACAAGAAGTACATCGACAATTTATCGTGAAAGACGTTTCCATTTATCATCTTCAATTCGAACACTATTAACAATGACTATGAACAATCGTAAAGCCTATAACAATATAAATTCTATTATTATTTTTTCAGTACATACACATGACATGAAAAGATACTTTTATTTATAATAATTAAGACGTCTAGTTTTCCTCAAACTCAAATACATAACAACAAGATGATTATTTTCAGATCATCAATTCGTTGAAGTGTGGGTTCAATCGCGGAGAAAAATTACATCTACACACCCACACTCACACCCTCTCGAGTTTCTAAGATATTTGAGACTTTATAGAAGGACACTTTTTGTTCACTCTCATTTAATAAAACTTTTTAGGAATTTTAATTATTTGCATAACTCGAACAAGAAAAAAAAATCATATAAAACTGGTTCTAATGCTGCCAAAGCTAAATAAAGAATTTTAACGATAATTTCTTTTTCTCGAAAATGTTTTTTTTTACTTCCTACCATGTGTTTCAGGTTCATGTTCACTTGTTAATAATGAATCATAATGTTTTATTAAATCTTGTATTTTAATAACTT